GGGCCGGGCACAGGTTGCTGGGGAGTGAAGGGGCTGAGAGGCCGGAAGCTTAGGCTTGGGCCTTTCCCCTGTTGGGGCATGAACGAAAGTCCCCCAGAGGAGACTTGAGCTCTTCTCCCCACCCCAACCCCTTTCTGGCTTCAGCCCATTCCATAAGCCACCCGCCAAAAGCTCAGTTCACACCTGAACTCTTGGTTCCCCCGACCTTAAAGGTCACAAATGTGAAAGGAAGTGTCCAAGACAAATGTGTATGAAGAATTGGCAGTCTCAGTGGGCAGAACATGTGAGTCATTCTCTGGGTCATGAATTCGAGCCCTGCGCTGGGTGTAGAGATTACTTAAAAAAAAAAAAAAAAAATTGCCTGTGTTTATGGAGCACTTACTTTATGCCGGGGGCGGTGCCAGATCCCTTACACACAGGATCTCATTTTATCCTACAAAAAAACCTTAGGAGGAGGGGTCAGAACTTTGATCACCCCATCTCAGGAGAACCTGAGACAGACTGAGCAACTTGTTCACAGTCACAGCGCTTGAACGTGATGAATCGGACTCTTTTGGGAGATCAGAAGAGAAAGGAGGGATGAGAAAAGGAGAGCCAAGGAAAGAGCGTGAGGAAAAGAAAGATCAGAGCGCCTACTGTGCTGTGGGGACGGAGAGACAATGAATCAGGACGAGTTTCCGCAAGCTGTACCTTTGGGTTGTGAGGCTTTAAGAGCCAGACGCTAGCTTGCTGGCTGTGAGTGTCGTGAATTCTCTGCAGAAGCAGGCTTCAAGGCAGCCCTGCTATATTTGGGTTACGTTCTGGGAATAAAGAATTCAGATTTGGGACCCAAAGTTCCATGGTTAGCTACACTTCTGATTAGCTGAACCAAGTGTGAACCCAGATCTGAGCCAAGTATGTCCTCCAGGACGTCAGGCTTATGGTGCGAGAGCTCAGTAGTTGAGATAGAAGCTGAGGTTTACTTAAAGCACCCCCTGTAAGTCTTAGCAACACTCTAACCTTTATCTTGGCGGAAATTGCTCCTAAATGTGTCAGACAGGTCCACAGTGTCACATGTACTTCAGAAAGACACAGGGCTACGGTGCATGAGCTCCCCTTATTTGGAGAAAATCTATGAAAGGCCCTTGGAAGGGGAGATTGCAGGCTGGAAACCCAGCCTCCAAGAATACCTAATGTCTTCAAATTTAGAAGGGGAGGGGGAAAATACATTGCTGATGTGATTACACTGGTTTCATACAATGAAGAGGAGAAACTTTTCCTCTACCCTCTTAGGTTCAGTGTTGAAGGTCTGCAAATTAAACTGACAAAAGACAGATTGGCAAGAGAAAAGAGAGATTTTTTTATTCACATGCATACGCATGTGGGGGAGTTCACAGAAAAAGGTGACCCGATGAGGCAGTTAGAATTTGGGGCATATATATCATCTTTATTGGGGAAGGGGAATGGGAGAAGGACCCTCTGGAAAATGGCTTCTTAATAGGGGAAGAAAGAGCACTTAGGGGAAAACACATTATTTTTTAGAAAGATAAATGGGCCCTTAGGAGAGTAGATGACAGTTATGATAGTTTTTGTGACAATGTCCATTTAGGTGTGGTGCTGACTTCTGCAGTGATAAGATTCCAGCACAAAGAGTCCATCTTTCTTGGTTGCGAGAAACTTCTCCAGGAGGGAATTTATGATAGTTGAGTTCTTTGGGGAGGCTCTGCTTTTAGACAGATGAAGGAGTTCAGAAAAATGCCTCTTCTCAAAATCCTTCAGCTTAAAAGAGCAGCACTGTCCAGCGGAAGGTGCAATGTGATTTTAAATTTTTTAATGGCCATACTTAAAAAGTAAAGAGAAACAGGTGGAACCAATTTTGACAATATACTCTACTTATAACACAATCAAAAGTGTTATTTCAACGTGTAAAAATTATTTGAGATCTTTGACATTCTTTTTTTGGTAATAGGTCATCTGAATCCAATTTGTATTTTATGCGTACCCCAATTCAAGTGCTCAACATGTGACTAATTGGTACCATATTAGACAGCATATGTCTACAGGGTCCAGCATCCAGCATTTTTTATGGATTCAAGGCTGCAAATATTGCCACTTCTGTAGCTGAATTTCTAGCAGATCTAGAAAAAAGTTACAGCAAGGTGGGGAGCTCCCGGGGTTAGGATATTAAGGTGGAAAGTATCAATGGCAAGGCTACAACCTATAGGACATCTTTATGGGAATTTGAAAACAGGGACTCCTTGGGGCGCCTGGGTAGCTCAGTTGGTTAAGCATCCGATTTTGGCTCAGGTCATGAGCTCCCGGTTCGTGGGGTTGAGCCCCGCATTGGGCTCTGTGCTGACAGCTTGGGGCCTGGAACCTGCTTCAGATTGTGTGTCTCCCTCTCTCTCTCTGCCCCTTCCCCATTCATGCTCTGTCTCTCTCTCTCTTTCTCAAGCTAAATAAACATGAAAAAAAATAAAAATATTAAGAAAAAAAAAAGAAAATGGGGACTCGTCTGGGCTCCAGGCTGGGTGAGAAGAAGGTGCCTTTGAACAGCAGCAACACAACAAAAAATGTTCCCCTTCTTCCAGCGGCCGTGTATTAGTCTCAGTGCCGAAAACAAGGACCACTCCAGATGGTTCAAGTAGAAAGGATTTAACACAGGGAGCAGGGGGTTGAGGTCTTTGCCCCTTGCTGCCACAGACCCCAGCTTCCCACTCACCCCTGGAAACTAGGGACATTTCCCTCGCGCCCTTTATAGACTGTAACACAGTGCTGGGCACTATGGTCATTCAACAGATGTATGAAGAAGTGAATGAATGCAGGTTCCCACCCAGCTTTGGATCTAGGCACCACGGAGTATGACCCAACCCTGCCTCAGAGTCTGAGCCCTCTACTGGGTTAAGGTATTGAAAGCCCCTCCAGTTGAGCACTACCTTAGGTATGGAGGATACTTACCTGACTCCCCAACAGCCTCTGCCTCTCTTCCTTGCTAACTGAACCCCAGTATTGTTTGGCTGGTACTGGGCCCAGCCCTGGGAGAGGGATCTAATTAGCCCAAGCCAGTCATGGCGGTCCCATTCCCTTTGCCCAGTACTTGCTTTCCCAGCTTCCCTTGTGGCCAGAGGTGGTCCCTTGACCCAGTTGGAGCCATTGAGATATGGAGAAGTCAGCCTGGAGGCTTTTGGGCAAGATAAGAAAGTAGGCTAGGAGAAATAATCTGCCCTCAGCCCCTATCCAGCCACCCTCTACTCCATGCTTCCTAACTTGAACATGGTAAGAGAATATGACCATTAGGAGCTGCCGTGAAGGCATCTGCCAGTTGAGAGGAGGTAACAGATGCACAGTTCTGCCAACACTTCCTATCTCCAGACTTCTTTGTAATGTTTGTTTGTTTGTTTGTTTAGAGAATGAGTGGGGGAGGGGCAGAAAGAGAGAGAGAGAGAGAGAGAAAGAGAGAATCCCAAGCAGGTTTCCTGTCAGTGGTCAGCGAGGGGCTCAATCGAGGGGCTCCTGACGAGGGGCTCAATCTCATGAATCGTGAGATCACGACCTGAGCCCAAATCAAGAGTTGGACACTCAACCGACTGAGCCCCCCAAGGTGCCCCCTCCAGACTTTTTGATTCATGAGAAACATGTGTCCCTATTTGTTTCAGCCATAATCCCTTGTTTTTTTTTTTTTTGTTACTTTTCAGGTAGATCCTGTCTTAACTCAGAAACCTAGTGGCTACTCTAAGGATTCCTTAATCACAGACTACAAAATCCTGGGGCTGGGAGAGCATCTCAGCTTTAATTAGTTCATTCTCTTCCTTCTTTGCATGAATCTCCTCTCCTACATCCCCACTGAGGGTCAGTGAACCTCCACTTGCACATCTCAGTGACGGGGACCTCAGTACTGCCAAAGGCAACCTAGGTTTGATGGTTTTTATGTTAAACCAAAGCCAAATTCCCTACAATACCACCCATTTGTCTTAGTATGAATAATTGGGAAAGAACCAGGAATTGTAGAATGGGTAGGGGGGTGGAGTTAGCGGGTGTGCTGCTAACTTTTTCTTTAAGTTTTTAATTAGCAGACATTTCTTTCTTTCTTCTTTCTTCTTTCTTTCTTTCTTTCTTTCTTTCTTTCTTTCTTTCTTTTCTCTTTCTTTCTTTTTAAAGTTTATTTATTTATTTTGAGAGAGCACACTTGGGCCAGGGGTAGAGAGAAAGAGGAAGAGAGAGAATCCCAAGCAGGCTCTGTGTGGTCGGTGCACAGCCCCACACAGGGCTCGTTCCCATGAACCGTGAGATCACAACCTGAGCTGAAATCAAGAGTCAGACACCTTACCGACTGAGCCACTCAGGCAACCCCCAAATTTTTCTAATTATGTGACATTGAGCAAGTTGCTTAACTTCTCTGAATGTTAGTTTTTGTTTTTGTTTTTGTTTTATCTATGGAGACGATATATTCTCCCTCCTGGATCGTTGTGAGGATTTGCTAGCAAAGAGTAAGCCCACAGCAATTGTTAGTGGTTTGACTCCTTAACACATGGGTTGTGTCAACCAGCTGGCATACCTGAGAGTTGGGTCCAGAAAGAAGATAGGACCCCAAGACAGGGGCTGGTAAATTTTGACGCAGGGCAGAGAATATGGGCCATTATGACTCCCCGCGAGAAGTGTGTGCATGTACCTGAGAACTTGGGGGGCAAGAAGGGCATCCCAGGGAGGTGTCACGGTCCCCAAATGGAGAGGTTCTCAGCATGGCTGCTTCACAACCTTGTCTCCAGTCTGTCCAGCCTCATCCCGCCTGGCCCCCCGACCCATCCCTCCTTCCTCTGACCTATTGACTTCCTCTGACCTTGATGAGGCAAAGGCTTGAGGTGACATCAAGGAAGACGCTGACTCAACAAGAACATTCAGGAGCCTGGGGAAGGTTGCAGGAAGAGCTTTAATTGCTGAGAATCCAATCAGAAAAGGGAGGTGCTGGCCAAGGGGTGGCCAGCCAGGGAGGGGTGGTGGAAGAGGGGCAGCCTTCGGTGGTTTTACTTCCGGGAGCGTCCAGCATCGTGGCAGAAGCCAAAGTTGGTATTGGTGATGGAGCCCACGATGGTCTTGTCAACCTCACAGGTCAGGCCCCGCTCACAGGGACACTTGTAGTAAACCCCATACAGTGTCTGCAAAGACACAGGGCCATTGGAGTCACAGGCTGTGTGTTGGGGGGGCTACTTTGGGCATAACGTGCCTCCTGGCCTGACCCCAAGAACCCCTGGCCAGTCTCTTTTCAGTCTGTCTTCTTCTGACTGCCACTCCAGAGGGCACTGTGGGCCCCGAGGCTGGTTCCCACCCTGTGCCTCATTTACGCTGACTACATCTCTCTGGGGAGGCCTCTATTCACCCATCCGTGAAACGGGGATAACAACCCCCCGCCCCATTCATCTCACTGGTCACTTGTGAGGGTCAAAGGAGATGATGGCATGGGAAAGTGCTTTGAAGCCTGCTGAACTCCCCCTCTTAATCTCAGCGTTCGGGGCCCAGGCTGACGCTCCTCCATGATCCTATCCCCAAGCCTGAGGGCCCTCCTCCTCTGAGCGGTCCCTCTTCCCACCACGACCGCCCCCACTCCGCGGGCACCCACCTTGGCAGAGCACTCGCTGTTCTCACTGGCCTTGGGTGCGCAGCGGGCCAGGCTCAGCCCCGTGCTACGGTGGCAGCACCTGCTCTTGCATTGAAGGCTGTTCAGGCAGAGCTCACCGTCTTCCTGTCGGGGCAGCCGGTTAGCCCAGGTCCCCTTCCACTGGTCCCTTCTCTACACCCCCCCTGCCCCGCCACCCACTGCCGCTGACAGGGCCCTGAGTCTGGGGGCCAATCCGCCCACCCCCAGCCCCAGCGTGTGAGAAGCGGGCAGGGTAGTGGTTGCGGGTCAGGACACGGGTTCTAGCACCCACTGTGCTATCAACTCCCTGGGTGACTCTGGGCAAGTCACTGCCCCACACTCTGCCTCGGTGTTCCCAAAACGGGGTCTCCAAACTTCTCTGGTTCCCACGCTCCGTTGAGGAGCCTGTGAAGGGTGAGGACCTTCTCCCTGGAAAATTCCTCCCTCCCCTGACTTCTACATATAACCTCAGGGGGATCCTGGACCCTCTGAGCCATGTAAGGCCCTGAGTTAAGAACCTTTGGGTACAGAGGCAGCATGGGGCAGCGTGACAGTGTGGCTCTGGAGCCAGCAGCCTGGGCTCCAATCCCTGCTCCGTGTTTTCCAGCTGCGTGACCTCAGGCAGGTGGCTTAACCTTTCTCCACAACTGCTTTCCATCTGAAAACGGACCTGATCCAAATAGGACCTATCTCGCGTGGTCAGTATGAGGCATTTAGAACTGTGTCTGTGTGTCCCTCTAGGTCAGAAGCCAGACTCACTGGGAGAGCTTTTTAAACTACTGCACATTTCTGAGCCAGGGTTTCCAGGGCAGGACCCTAGGGCTCTAGGTTTTTCTAAAGCTCCCTCAGCCAGTTTGAACCATTGCCCTGAGCATGTCCCATGCTGGTCAGCCTTGTCTGAGGCGCCAGCGGAAGAGGGCAGGACAGTCGTGGGCAGGATAGATAGAGCTGCTTCACCTCTCAGCCTCCAGGCAGCCCCAGGTGGAGACATTAGAGGTTAAGATCGAAGCTTAAAAAATCTCCACCTGGGCACATGCACCCCAATATTTATAGCAACACTATCGACAGTAGCCAAATTATGGAGAGAGCCCAAATGTCCAATGACTGACAAATGGATAAAGATGGATAAAGGAGATGTGGTGTGTGTGTATATATATATAATGGAATAATACTCGGCAAGCAAAAATAATAAAATCTTGCCATTTGCAACAATGTGGATGGAACTAAGAGTGTATTATGCTAAGCGAAATTAGTCAGAAAGACAAATATCGTATGATTTCACTCATATGTGGAACTTAAGAAACAAAACAGATGAACATAGAGGAAGGAGAGGAAAAATAAGATAAAAAAAACAGAGGGAGAGGTGTTGGTGGGGGCTGGGCTAAATGTGTGATGGGCATTAAGGAGGGCACTTGTTGGGATGAGCACTGAGTGTTCTATGTAAGTGATGAATCACTGAATTCTACTCCTGAAACCATTATTACACTATATGTTAACTAACTTGGATTTCAATAAAATTTAAAAATTTAAAAAAAAAAAATCCCTGCCTGGATGTTCAGATGACTCCTTCCCTGAAACCCCTCTTACCAGGTGGATAATGATTCCCCGAGGGTCAGGCACCGCGTAGGCCACTGCGAGGGCAACCAGCAGAAGGACGAGGACCTTCTCCATGATGGACGGGCACAGCCGGTGTAGGTAGCCGCTGGCAGGTCAGGTGGCAGAAGACAGACCCGGCCTGGGTGGTGGAGCTATAAAAGGGACTCTGTCCACATGTGACTCACCTTCCCCAGCCCGCTGGGCTGGATGTGAACCGAGGCCCAGCTGTGGCCAATCTGCTGGGGGGCGTGTCCTGATAAAGCAAATGGGCGACACCTCGTTCCTTGTGCATGCGTGTGCGTGTATGTGTGCACCTGTGTGTGTGTGTGTGTGTGTGTGTGCATGTGTGTGTGGTGGTGATACCGCACCAACACAGAGTTGGGTGTGGACTCTGGAACACTTTTACTTGTAAAGTTATTAGCTGGGCAAGTTATCTGTTCTGAGCCTCAGTCTCCTTACCTTCAACTGGGGATCATTTTGAGAGTTGGGAGGGCTGAGTGAGTGAATATGTTGCATATATCTTAACACACACGGGTAGCTCAGCCCCGGGCTTGGCTCTGTCATTAGGATGTGTCAGCCGCTGTTACCGGTGCTCCGTTCCCCGCTGGTGCCCGGAGCCCTGGTAGGGCTGGGACTGGGGTGAGGCGAGAGAGCACCAAGGGTGTGAGCACCCCCTTCAGCTTTGCATGTAGGCACCTCTCACCCCAGTCCAGGCCCTGCTTCTGACTCCATCCAAACCCAGGGATCAGGCGCCGGTGAGGAGGGGCCCCAGCCTCCCGGCTTCCTCAACCTTCCCAGCCTCCCCTGGGGCATTTTAGGGCAGGTCGAGGCTGCTGGGGCTGACCCACTCTGTGATCGACCGACCGCTGGAGGGGGGATGTGTGTTCTCACTTCCCACCTGCCCTCACACTGTGGGGGAGGGGGGCCTGCCTCTGTGAGTGATTTCAGGGGCCCTTAGGATGGTCCTTCTCACGCAATTGTCTCCTGTTTCCTCTTCACTCAACATCTGCAGTCCCAAACCCCTTCAGTTAAGGCTTCCACTCAGCCTGTCCCCTACCCAAGGCCACCTGTGAACGTGAGCTGTAGTCTATCCTGGCTGAGGACGAGGAAGTCTTGTGAATCGCAGATGGACCCAGGTCGGGGGAGGGGGGCTGAAGGCTGGGAAGGGTGCAGCTGCCAGAGTGTGCTCAGGTGTGGGACCAGAGCAACTTTCCCTGGACGACCGCTCACTGCAGCCAAGGGTCCCATCCCAGGAGGTGGAAGACCGCCTCGCTGTGGAGGCCCTGGATCCGGTTCCCCAGAGCACAGCTTGGATCCATATTGACTTGGCTTCCAAACTCGGCCCTCCCTAGCCACGTGACCTTGGACAGGTAATTTAAATCTGTAAGCCATCTGAGCCTGTTTCCTCCAGTACCGAGGAAGATGATGTCACCTTTGTAAGGTCAGGATTAAGACAATGCAGGTGGGAGTGCCTAGCGTCTAGTAGGTGTTCTGCCTTCCTAATACCCCCACCCCTCTGCCTTACGGCCCTAGAGGGTGGAATAGAGGGGAGTAGCTGGAGGAACGAGCTAGAAGACCCTCACAATGGGAGAAACCTGACACAAAAGTATCACTGGTTAAAGAAACACCAGTCTCTCTTATTTTTATGGAACTCAGCGTTTAAAACCACTTTCCCCTATGAGGTCATTCTGGCCCCTCCTTCGCTTCCCACTCCCCTCCCCCCCAGTACCCCTGTGAGCAGAGCCACAGGGAGGGTAATTGCACTTTGCTTTTCACCAGTCAAGGCCAGGAGGCTGGGGAAGGAAGCGGAGGAGCTCTTTCCATCTGTGAACGGAGCTGTGAAAAGTGCATCAGTCCTATCTCCGGCTGGTCACAGCCAACTCCCCAGAGGAGGAAGAATGGAGTTTTTTCCATTACAGATGAAGAGTATAGCAAAGAGAACTTTGGCCAATGTTTCTGCTTCCAAAATATAAGCAAAAATTATATATATATATTTTTTTACCAAATCCCCACAAGGTTTAGCCACCCCTTGCCCAATCTAAAGAGTGTTGTGCATTGCGTTTTTCCCCTTCAAAAAGGAACCCCACATGCAATCACATGGATTAACTTCAGAGGCATAATGTTGAGTGAGGAAAGCCACAGACAGAAAACATACAGACTGCGTGGTTACGTTTACATGCAGTTCAAGAAAAGGCAAAACTAACCTATGGTGATAAAAATCTGCAGGTTTACCCCTGGGTGGGCAAATTGGCTGGGAGGCGGCAAGAGGAAGCCTTCTGGAATGTTGGAATTGTTCTAAATCTGGGTTTGGGGCATTGAGAGAGAGAGAGGGCATGAGTGAAAGAGGGCAGGGAGGGAGAGAGAGGGGGGAGAGAGAGACTCTCTGATGCGGAACTCACGAATGGTGAGATCATGACCCGAGCAGAAGTTGGATGCTGAGCTGACTGAGCCACCCAGGTGCCCCCACAGTATGTACTTTTAAAAAGTTGTGTTTTATTTTTGTTTTTATTTTTGGCCTGGCTTCTTAGCATAACACATTTGGGATTTGTGCACGTTGTGGCTGGTTTCTGTAGTTTGTTTCTACTGTTTCTGCTTCTGTTGTGTGGAATGGAACCACAGTGTGTTTATCTATTCCCGGCTGAAGGACATTTGGGTTATTTCTGAAAAATTTGGGGCAATTATTAATGAAGCTCTTATACAGGAGCACCTGGGTGGCTGGGTCGGTTAAGCATCCGACTTCAGCTCGGGTCATGAGTTCGAGCCCCGCGTCAGGCTCTGTGCTGACAGTTCAGAGCCTGGAGCCTGCTTCGGATTCTGTGTTTCCCTCTCTCTCTGCCCCTCCCCCACTCATGTACTGTCTCTCTCTGTCTCTCAAAAAAAAAATAAACGTTAAAAAATGTTTTAAAAAGCTTTTATACATATTCGTGTACAGGTTTTTGTATGTGTGCAAGTTTTCATTTCTCTGGGACAAATAATCAGGAGTGAGATGGCTGAGTCTTGTGTCAAATGTTTGTTTTGATTTCTAAAAGATGTTGGACTGTTTTCCAAAAGGGCTGAACTAATGTGCATTCCCACCAGCAATGTATAAACGTTCCAAATGCTTTCTACATCCTCATCAGGGCTCGGCACTGCTGGTTTTTCAGGTTTTTTTTTCTCTTTCTTTCTTTCTGTTTTTTGTTGTTTGTTTCTTTGTTTTTGGTTTTTAATTTAGCCTTTCTATTAGATGTAAGAGCAGTATGTCATTTGCGTTTCCCTACCGACTGATGACGTTGAGCATTTTTTCATGTGTTCAATTGCCATCCATATATCTTCTTTGATCAAGTGTTCGTATCTTTTGCCAACCAATCTTTAATGGTTTTTTGTTTTTCTTATTACTGAGTTTTGAGAGTTATCAGTGTCCTACAGGGGCTTGAAGTCTGTTGATATTATTGGGAGCCAGTAATGACTGGCTGGGTCCACCTTAGTGGGAAATCCATTCAGTCTCCGTCTGTCCCACCATGGACCCCTTGCTATGAGTCTCTGAGCCAGTGCAGGGTAGGAGCGGGTGGGGAAGGAGGCTGGCTAGCATTTACAGGAGTGGGGTGTCCTGTCCAGCTGATGTTAAAAGCCTCTGCAGTAGCAAACCCTTGGAGAACATTCTTACAGGACTCAAATACTCTCTGGTTTTTGTCCCTATTTTGAGGATTCCATGAACCCTACCCCTTTCCTGAAACCCTTAACCCTCCAACCTTACTCTGTTGGAGACGATGACCATCTGGCTTGTACGTTAGCTGCTGCCCACAGACTGATGTACCTCTCAGACTGTCTCTCCTTACAGGAGAGGTGGTATACTTTTTGAGGCAGCCATAACAAATTACCACCCACTTGGCAGATTGAAACAACAGAAATTGGTTCCCCTACAATTCTGAAGGCCAAAAGTCGAAATCAAGGTATCAGCAGGGCTGTGCTTTCTACAGAGGCTTTAGGGGAGAATCGGTTCCATGCCTCTTCTTGCTTCTGGTGGTTACCAGCTTCCTTGGCTGAAACCCCATCATTCTAGTCTCGACCTCCATGGTTATGTCACCTTTTCCTTTTTGTCTGGATTCTCCTCTGTGTGTCTTAGAAGGATACTTGTCATTGGATTTAGGACCCGCCTAGATAATCTGGCAGGATCTTCTTATCTCAAATCTTTAATTATAGCTGCAAGGAACCTTCTTCTCAATAAAGTAATTTTTACAGGTTCTGGGCATTAGGATGTGGATCTTTTGGGGGTAGATAATTACAGCACTAGAAGTTCTACCTTCTGGGGAGATTTCCTTTCCTCACTGTCCCCAGGGCTGTCCTGAGTGGGGTTGTCATGCCACAGTAGTCCACTCCCACCTGGCCAGCACCCCATCAGAGCTCTCTCTGGAGCAGGCGGAGGGTGGGGCTTCCACAGTGAGGGAAGAGGCCCGACTGTGCCCCTGGCCTCATACAGCAGAGTTTCACCCTCACATAGGAAGGAGGTCAGGGTGCCGGCCAGCCCAAACCAAAACAATGTGACAAGTGTCCACTAGAGACGGACATTTGTCTGCCTGCATCTTTTGAGTGGCTGGTAGTGACTCATTTCTACAGCTCCCCTGGGGACATAGTGCACTTTTTGATTTATTATTCAGAGAGGAAGAGAGAATGCCGCCGGCTTTCACGTAGCTCTTCCTGGTACATTTGTCTTTAGCTCAAGGGTCAGGGAGCCAAGGTGAGGATTTGACCTGTTCCTGAGGTGATCTGGCGTAACCATTTAGAACATAGGATGGATTTCAGGCCTTGCAGTTCTGTACTCTCACAGCCCCTGAATCTTATCTTAATGGCCCTATGCCTTATAGCAATAGGTCTCAACAAATTCTCAGAGCCATAGCACATAAAGGTCTTGACTTAGGTTTTTTAAATGTTTATTTATTTATTTTGAGAGAGAGCGTGCTCGTGCCTGAGTGGGGGAGGAGCAGAGAGAGACAGGGAGAGAGAGAATCCCAAGCAGGCTCTGCATTGTCAGTATAGAGCTGGACTAGGGGTTTGATCTCATGAACCATAAGATCATGACCTGAACTTAAATCAAGAGTTGGATGCTTAACTGACTGAGCCACCCAGGTGCCCCTTAACTTTAAAAAATTTTTTTAATGTTTTTATTTATTTTTGAGATAGAGAGAGACAGAGCATGAGCAGGGGAGGGGCAGAGAGAGAGGGGGACACAGAATCGGAAGCAGGCTCCAGGCTCCGAGCTGTCAGCACAGAGCCCGACACGGGGCTCGAACTCACGGACCGCGAGATCGTGACCTGAGCTGAAGTCCGACGCTCAACCGACTGAGCCACCCAAGTGCCCCTTATTTTATTTTATTTTTTTAAAGATTGTATTTTTAAGTAATCTCTACATCCAACATGGGACTTTAACTCACAACCCTGAGACCAAAAGTCTTATGTTCCAGTCAGGTACCCCTCATTTTATTTATTGAGTCAATAATCTAGATATTTGAGCTTGTCTTGCTTGATATTATTCAGTGCCCCCCACTGAATTTCCTAATTTCTTCATTCTCCTTATTTTATTTATTTATTTTTAGTAGGTGCTATGCCCCAACATAGGACTTGAACTCACAACCCCTCAACCAAGCGTCACATTCTCTACTGACTGAGCCAGCCAGGCACCCTTTCTTCATTCCCTTTAAATCTGTTTTGACCAAAGCCACTTGGCTCCCAGAACTTGTCCCTCAGAGGGCACATGATCTCTGGTGTTCATGGCTGACAATTTTATTAGCTATTTCTCTTCTGTGTACCATGGAGCATAAACAGGAATCTCAGAGAGTTTTGCCCGAAGCCCTCTTTCTGGTGCCAATGTTTGGATCAGTTAGGGCTCTTTGGTGCCCACGGCCAAAGCGTACTCTGGCTAATGAAATGAAAAAAGAAGGAAATAGAAGGATATCGGGTGGGTCACAGAGCTGAAGAAGGAGCAGGGCAACTGTCTAGGCAGAGTGGGAATCAGGGTGTGTCTGAAGTTCCCAGTAGCAGGAACTCATGGATTGTTTCTTAGGGATGTTGCCAAGGCCTGATAAAGCAATAGCTTTTTTTCTCCTTTTGTCAGTCTACTACCAATTCAGATTCTCCAGGGAGAGACTGATGGCCTAGTTTGGGTCACCCACTCATCCTTGTCTCTAGAGTCTGTATGCCCTGTGATTGTCTCACCAGATCCTCAGGAAGCAGGAGAGTCTGTTCTCAGAGGCAGGGGAAGTTGTGCTGGGCAGGCCAAACAGAGGTGGTTCACCAGCCTAGAGCCTTCTCTGAGTGGGAGAAGATACAGTCTGTCTCTAGGGAAACTGCCGGTCTGATGGTGGACACATAGGCTGTGCCCTCAGTGACCTTCCAGTCTGATGGGAAGACTGGTCACAAAACCAAAGAGATTTAAGAGAAAGAGGAAATGTAGGCAGTGACACAAGTATGTTCAAGACAGGGTTTGGGGGGGGGGTGAGGGGAAAGACAGGGTTTTGTTTTTTCTAGTAGTGAAAAACTGGAAACTGCTAAAATACCCTAAAAAGGGGAAATGCTCAAACAATTAAATGATTACATACTCTGAATCAATATACACGCATTAAAATCATGTTTTTGAAAAAAAAATAGTAATATGAGAAAATTAATGGTGTAATGCTATGTGAAAAAAACTGGATACTAAATTGTCCAATTGTATAAAGCAGTATATGCAGGAGGGAAATATATCAAAATGTTAACAGAGGTAATAATAATGATAAACCTTTTGAGTACTTTTATATGTGAGGCCCTGTGCCAAACAGTTTACCTGTGTTATTTTACCTAACCCTTAGGTGATAGGAACTATTCTCCCCATATTTTTTGAAAGTAGGCTCTACGCCCAGTGTGGGGCTTGAACCCGTGACCCTGAGATCAAGACCTGAGCTGAGATCAAGCGTCTGACTCTTAACCAACTGAGCCACTCAGGCTCCCTCTCCCCATTTTATAGATGAAGAAACTGAGGCTTGGGGAGGTTAAATCCACAGATAGTCATATAGCTAGTAAGTGGCTAACTCAATCCAGATGTGTCTAAAGCCAAAGTCCATGTGTTTTTTTAAAAAATGTTTATTTATTTTGAGAAAGAGAGAGGGAGGGAAGGAGCATGAACAAGGGAGGGGCAGAGAGAGAGGGAGAGACAGAATCCCAAGCAGGTTCCACACTCAGCATGAAGACAAGCTCATGAATGGTGAGATCATGACCTGAGCTGAAATCAAGCGACAGACATTTACCTGACTGAGCCACCCAGGCAACCCCAAAGTCCATGTTTTTAAGATAATCTTGACTCCCCTTAGCTTCCAATGTTGGGGGTATGAGTGATTTATATCCTTTTATGTAGCTTTCCTGAATTTGCTAGATCCCTACACCAAACATGTATTTACCTATACAGTCATGAGAAATACATATTTTGAAAAAGAAGGGGGAAAAAGAAATATGCAACAAAAACATATAAACAGGAGAAAGATATTGTATTGAACAAAACCATTTGTTAATGGATACCTGGGTGGCTCAGTCAGTTAAGCGTGGAACTTCAGCTCAAGTCATGATCTTGTGGTCTGTGAGTTCCAGCCCCAGATCGGGCTTTGTGCTGACAGCTCAGAGCCCGGAGCCTGCTTGGGATTCTGTGTCTTTCTCTCTGCTTCTCCCCCGCTCACGCTCTCTTTCTTTCTCTCTCAAAAATAAATAAACATTAAAAAAAAAACAAAACCATATGTTAAAGTCTGGGAGGCCTCACAAGTATTGTCCTTTGCTATGCTTTGTAGTTCTTTAATGTAGCACTATCAGTCTGCATTGCAAATATATCTACGGATATACATATATGTAAATGCCTCACTGTCTTTGAGGGCAGGGACCCTCTTTTATCTCTGTGGTTTTGCCTAGGGAAGATATCCTCCAACATGGGGCTTAGCACATAGTAGGTTCTTAGAAATTGTTGATTGAAGAGAAACCATATGGACTAGAAACCAGTGACCGGAAGACACAATCAGAAGAGGTTTTGCTGGACTCCCCTGTATTGGGATTTCTGAGAGGGCGACTAGGGAGACAGGGCGGGGTTGGATGGGATGGGGGAACAGTGTTCAAGAAGAGGTTTTGGTTCTGCGGCAGGAGTTGAGCGGGAGGAATGTGACAGCTGCAGCCCCACCCTCTCAATTTTTGTCACCCCCCCCCACCCCCCCAACTCAGGAGGGTGAAGAGGGGTCTCAGTTCCCTGAGAAACTGAGCGGTGGGCGGGCCAGGAGCTCCCCACGCCTCCCCGGGCCGTCATCTGTTTCCCACCCTCCTCCGACCGGAGTCCCGAGGCGCTGGCCGCGGTGCTGAAGCAGCGCTCTCCGAGGAGGGAGGAAGGAGGGGCCGGGCCGCGGCGAAGAGGCGGAGCTCTATGAAGCTCTGAGCTGGAAAGGGGGGAGGGGCAGGGCGGCGCCAGCAGGCCCGAGACCCTGGCAGGCTTGAGAGGAGGCAGGAGACTGGAGACAGCCTGGCTAGAGTGGACAAAGGCATCTGGACAATCTTCCTCGAAAGAAACCAAGGTTGTCGTCCTTGTCTTATAAATCTTCTCTCTTCTACCTTGGAGGGACCCTCACCTTGTGTCCTGACCTCAGCCTCGTTCCCAAACCCATCAGAGGAGTGACTGACTTCTAGGCTTTTCTGTCTGAGAAGCCACTAGCTTACAGCCCACAAGACCCCAGGTGAGGGCCTACTGCCTCACCATGGTGAAGTTGCTGCCCGCCCAGGAGGCAGCCAAGATCTACCACACCAACTATGTGCGCAACTCGAGGGCTGTGGGTGTGATGTGGGGCACACTCACCATCTGTTTTTCGGTGCTTGTTATGGCCCTCTTTATCCAGCCCTATTGGATTGGTGACAGCGTTAACACACCCCAGGCAGGCTACTTTGGCCTTTTCTCCTACTGTGTGGGCAACGTGCTGTCCTCTGAGCTCATCTGCAAGGGTGGCCCGCTGGACTTCTCCTCCATTCCCTCTAGAGCTTTCAAGACTGCCATGTTTTTTGTGGCCTTGGCCATGTTCCTCATCATTGGCTCCATCATCTGCTTTAGCCTCTTCTTCGTCTGCAACACGGCCACTGTCTACAAGATTTGTGCATGGATGCAGCTGGCTGCAGGTGAGCAGGGTTAATGGGAGGGCAGGCGGGGGCCCACCCCCGGCCACAGGGGACGCTGCACCATTCCGCCCTCTGGAGGCTCTTGGTCTCCTTCCCAGCTGTTCCTCTTTATTTTTTTTCTCTCGAAGATTTAATTTTTTAAAACAATCTCTACATGGGGCTTGAACCTACAGCCCCGAGATCAAGAGTCACATGCTCCACCGACCGAGTCCACCAGGCTCCCCTCAGCTGTTCTCCTTTAGCCCAGCCCTACTCAATGCTCTGTAGAAGCTTCTGAGGAGTAGAGAACTTTAGAATGGTTGAGACCAAAAGGATCGTTGAGATCAAATTGTCCAACCCCCTCATCTTACTGATGGGAACTGAGGTCCAGAGAAGGGGAGTGACTTGCCCAGGAGCGCACAGCTAGTTGATAGGAGGTGTCCTGACTCCCAGGCCACCACATCAGAGGTTGTTGTTGCTCTGAGGAGGAAAAAGAAGGAAGCTTCCATTGTCAGCCATGTGGAAATAGGATCCAGCCCAGGGCAAAATGTCAAGCACATCCTAGATGTCTCCATCTCCCACTTCTGGGGGTTTGTTCTTTCTCTTTGTGGATCCCCAGATCCCTGCCCTCACTCTTCCCCTCCCACCCAAAATTGCTCTCAGGGAGATTCTAAAGTCAGTTGTTTATTTGGAGTGTTATGCTGTGACCTTTCCCATAGAAACTTGCATTGAAGTTCTCTCATGGTGGAGTGAAAGTCTTTGCTCCCTAGTTATAGGTTTCTGTACTTGAGGCAGCAAACGGGAGTGATATTTTGTCATGGGGGGAGTGGTGGTGGTGGCTAGGGTCTTTTATTATTATTTTTAATGTTTATTTATTTTTGAGAGAGAGCATGAGCAGGGGAAGAGTCAGGAAGGGGGGGAACAGAGGCTCCAAAGTGGGCTCTGTGCTGACAGCAGACAGCCCTATTCAGGGCCTGAACCCATGAACTACAAGATCATGACCTGAGCTGAAGTTTGAGGCTTAACTGACTGAGCCACCCAGGCATCCCAGATGGCTAGGGTCTTTTAAAACTATGGAGGGGTGGGGCACCTGGGTGGCTCAGTCGGTTAAACCTTCGACTCTTGGTTTCCACTCATGATCTCACGGTTTGTGGGTTCACATCCCACACACTGGGCTCTGCACTGACAGTGCGGAGCCTGCTTGGGATTCTCTCTCTTCCTCTTTCTCTGTCCCTCCCCTGCTGTCTCTGTCTCTCTCAACATAAATAAATAAACTAAAAAAAATTTAAACAAACAAAAAACTATGTGGGGTAGGTGGCTACTTATGGTGCCCCAAAGCAGGCCTTTCCTGCCCTTTTTCCTGCTCCTGGCCCAGGCAGGCTTCTCGGTCCCTGGGCCAGCTGCTCCTGTTTTCCTCTAAAGCTCAGAAAGACATGGCCTAAGGCCTTGTCCTTCAGCCCTTGGTCCCCTCCCATCCCAAGGACCATGCACAGACTGCCCATTCTAGGGGAATGTCCAGGGGCAGTGTGGGGACTTCAGACTAGAGAGCAAACCATCTTGATATCGTTGGTTAGAATGAGAAGTAGTATTATCCATAACAGGGGGAATGGAGTGGGGATCAGAATCCCAGACAACGAAACACATAGATTTAAGACTCTGTCAGAGTTGGAGGGGACCTCAGAGAGCTATAGGTACCCTTCGCCCCCCCCCCCCCCCCCCAAAGATGAGGAATCTGGGAAAAAACTTGGCCAAACCTGTAACAGATCAACTGGCAACTAAGGACCAAGGAGAATTAAGGCAGCAGGTTCCAAGAAACAAGATGTATTCCAAACTCACTTTTATTGAGCCACACATTTACATAAGTATAATGACTTACAAAGCACTTTCACATCTACCCTCTGGAGGAGCCCATCCCTACCTAGTGAGGTGGGCATTCCTCTTATTGATAAGAGGAATAAGAGCCTTATAGATAAGGCTCCTAACGGGTAACTTGACTTTTAGCACAGGTAGTGGTGGACAGAACCTTTGATTCCAAATCTTGTACTCAGGCTACTCACCTGGCTCCAGAGCTGCGTCTGCAATCCACCCACCATCTCCCTCTCTGGTCTCTCTGTATCATGAGCGAGAGGTTGGGACAGGGCTGAGGTAAATCTTGGTGGGCGGTGGGGAGAAGGAGGAGAAATGCAGATGTGGCAGTTCTGGGACAAAGAGGAGTAGAATGGACCCTGGCATGCTTACCAGCTGGTCCTCCATATCAGAGCTATGGGATGCTGGAAACACAACCATTCCTCTCATTCTCCACACTGCCCCCTCCCACAACCTCCTGCAGCAGGTGCCATGTGCTGAACAGGCAGTGCTTGGGAGGGACTACATGGGGGAGGCGTCACCAGGCTATTTGAGTTAGACCCTGCCGGGTCATGGAGCTGGAGACATTGATAGCAGAGGTGGCCAGATGCCATCCCATGAAACATTTACATTGGGAAGAGCAAAAGTGGTGTCATGTTCCATTCTTTGGTGCAGGGGAATGGAAGATGAGCCAAAGGGAGGGATTAAGAGGGGGTCTGCTTTGCAGTCAGCAGCTGGGAGACAGGTCCATTTGAAGATGCCTAAACCAATTAGTTTAACCTTGCCAGGAAGCCTGAGGCCAGGGAAGGGAGCAGGAGAAAGGAAAGAGGATTGGTGCCTGGGCCAGTGGGGGGCTGTAGTTTAACAATGTTAATTGAGCTTCTGGATCCCAGGTATAAGTTGTGTGTGGTTCCAGCTCCTAGAAACACAGGTAGAGCAAGTTGCTTGTCTCTCTGAGTCTTGATAACCTCATCCGTAGGGTGTAGCAACAGCGCCTCCCATCACAAGGTTCTTGTGAGGATGGGATGTATACTGCATGTAAAACACCTTGTACGGTTCTTGACACATAGGAGGTGCTCGGCAAATATGAAAAACACAAAAACAGTCAGGATGGGGGGGTGACAAAAAAACTCCCAAATCTTAGTGGCTTAAAACAAAGGTTTATTCTTTGCTGGTGGCACAAGCTTACTGAAGATCAGTTGGGGGCTCTGCTTTCACCGTTCTCTTCTGGAACCCGGACTGATGGAGCACTGGCTGTCATCTGGCTGTCATCACTGCAGAGGGAAAGGGAGCTCTGGAAGGCGTCTCCCCAGAAGTTACATGCTGTGGCCCGGAACCCCACACATTTCCGCTCCCATTTTGTTGTCTAAGGGAAGTCTTATGGCCTTGCCCAACTTGAAAAGAGGGGAGCAAGGAAATCTAACACCGCTATGTACCTGAAATGTTTGTGAACAGCTCTAATGACATTCACATCCCCTGAGGTTGCTTCCATCTGACTTCAATGCCAATAAGAATAGCAACAACTGACTTTAATTGGCTGGTTACCATGTACACACTGCAGTAAGCATTTTCTTTCTTTCTTTCTTTCTTTCTTTCTTTCTTTCTTTCTGGTTTAAATGTTTATTTACTTATTTTTGAGGGAGAGAGAGAGAGAGAGCAAGCAGAGGAGGGGCAGAGAGAGAGGGAGACAGAGAATCCCACGCAGGCTCCACACTGTCAGCACAGAGCCTGACTCGGGGCTCGAACTCACGAACCATGAGATCATGACCTGAGCTGAAATCAAGAGTCGGATGCTTCACCAGCTGAGCCACCCAGGTGTCCCTACAGTGAGCGTTTTCTATACATGATCACACTTCATCTTCATAACTCCGCTATGAGTCAGGTAGTATTATCCTGATTTTACAGATGACAGAATGGAAGTCAGAAAGGGTAAGTAAACTTGCCTGAGGATACCATGCTGGCCTCTGCTTAGAGTCCTGAGACATTACAAATGGAGTTGCCCCCCACTGTGCCCAGGTGGATGGGTCAGGTGCTCACAGAGGGTCATGGCACCCATTGTAACAACCTGTTTCCAGGTTGGAGGCCCTGGGCTATTTTCCAGAGATGCTACGGAAGGAGAGGGGGACCAAGGGGAGGAGATGGGGAGAATGGAAAGTCCAGAAGGGCAGCTCCTTTCCACATTGACCCATTCCACTCCTCCGCCCGGGGTTAAGGTGGGGGCCACGGTTGGCACCAAAACTCTGGTCTTACACCAACTGGGGAAGGCCATAGGTTTTACCGAAGAGCTCTGGGAAGGTCCCCCCTCCCCTACGCTAAGTATCTTCCTGAAACACTTCTCATTTTGTCACGAAGTCTGAAATGTCAGCACGAAATACATTCAGCTCTTTGGAGTGATGTCAGTCTGAGAGTTTAGGGAATTAACTTCGAGGAAAAAAAAAAAAAGCCAGGAGCATGTGTTCAGGTCTTGACTCTGCCCTGGGCAACTCACTTGGTTTCTCTGAGACCTCAGTTTTCTAATCTGTAAAATGGGATATTAATACATGGCCTACTTCACAGAACTGTTGTCAGGATCAAGAGGAAAAGGGTACACGAAGTATTTTGGACCTAAAAAGACCTATACGCTTATATGAATTAGCTTGTCCCATGTAAAATCAAAGGCGAGTTGATACATTTAGGCGGGGAGGGGGGATCCTGATCTTTATAATTTACTGTGCGTTTGATCTGTTGACTTTCCTTGCAAGCACAAACGGAGCCCAAGGTAGGTAACTGGGTCCTGTGAGGTGTTGCCCCGAGGTGCTCCTGGGTAGGGCACAGCCTCGGAACTGAAGAGCCTCTGGGCCTGTGGAAGGAGGGTGAGGGCTCAGAAGGCAGCACAGAGAATGGAAGGAACCCCCTGCCTACATGGCGGTTGTGCTTGGGGTTGGCCTTGGTCGTATCCCAGGATCATGTCACATATCTGTGCAGCTAAGGTGGGGTGGTCCTTGGTGGGAGGGCAGGGAGGTGAGGAGAAGGTAGGGAAAATGAAATTTTTGCCTGTAAATACTGTCAGTGAAAGCACAGGATGGGATAATTGTAGCTAACACTCGTGAAGCACTAAGTATGTGCTAGGCACTTTTCCAATACTAACTCATTTGCACCTCACTGCAATCCAAACAGATAGGGCCTACTCATATTCCCACTGTATAGACGAGAAAACTGAGGCCAAAAAAAAAAAAGCCTAAGTAGCTTGCTCTGAGTCACACAGCTAGTTAGGAAAGAGCTGGGCTTGAAATCCAGGCAGCCCGTTCTAGTGTTTCCCGCTTTTCCTAGCGAGAGAATTACCTGAAAGAATGATTTTCTTTTTTTTATTTTTATTTTTTAATTTTTTTTTAACGTTTATTTATTTTTGGGACAGAGAGAGACAGAGCATGAACGGGGGAGGGGCAGAGAGAGAGGGAGACACAGAATCGGAAACAGGCTCCAGGCTCCGAGCCATCAGCCCAGAGCTTGACGCGGGGCTCGAACCCACAGACCGCGAGATCGTGACCTGGCTGAAGTCGGACGCTTAACCGACTGTGCCACCCAGGTGCCCCTGAAAGAATGATTTTCAAAACAGGGATTCCCAGGGCACCTGGGTGGCTCAGTCAGTCGGGCAGCCGACTTCGGCTCAGGTCATGATCTCACAGCTTGTGAGTTCGAGCCCCATGTCGGGCTCTGGGCTGACAGCTTGGAGCCTGGAGCCTGCTTTGGATTCTGTGTCTCCCTCTCTGCCCCTCCCCCACTCACACTGTCTCTCTGTCTCTCAAAAGTAAACATTAAAAAAAATTTTAACCCCCCCCCCAGGGATTCCTGAGCCCACCCCTGGCCTGGGAATCAGCATTTTAAACAGATATTCCAGGGGATTCTCAAATTTAAGGAAGTATGGACAACTGCAGTGTTATGCACTGAGTTAGGAGGGAGAGACCTATTTGCTTGAATGAAAGGTTCAGGAGGGAAGCAGCCAGAGATGGGGCTGGAAAACTTTGTGTTTTCAGTAAATCTAAGATTCCCAAGTTGTGGGACATACCATTATTCTATGTGTGTAAAAAGGAAAAATACTCCTTTTTTTTTTAAAGTTTATTTATTTATTTTGAAAGAGAGGGAGAGCGAGTGGGGGAGGGACAGAGAGAGAGGGAGACAGAATTCTAAGCAGGCTCTGCCCTGTCAGCACAGAGCCTGGTGCAGGGCTCGAACTCACTAACCAGGAGATCATGGCCTGAGCGGAAGTCAGACACTTAACTGAGCCACCCAGGTGTCTCCAAAAGAAAAAAAATACTTGTAATCAAACCACGGCCTGAAGCTTTCTTATTATTTCAGAGATATCGGAGCATGAACAAATATACGTCTTAGGAGTGACGAGTTCTCTGGGTCGGGACCAGATTTTGGAGGGGTTTGAAGCCAGAGTAGCCAGTGCCTCGTCAAGTCCAAAGTGAGGGGTACGGCTGAGGGCCTGGTAGGATCACCTGGTGCCATGGCAGAACCTTCCCCGGGTGGAGGAGCTCCACTTTCTGCCTCTATCCCCACCAAGGGCAAGTCACTTTAACTCTTGGATCCTCCATTTTCTCCCCTGTGCTCTACAAGAACGATGGTAGGAGCTGCCCGCCCTCTCAAGGAGGAGGGAAGAGCACAGCCAGCCTGACACCATCTTCACCCCCTCCCGCCCCCTCAGCCACAGGCCTCATGATCGGCTGCCTGGTCTACCCGGATGGCTGGGACTCAAGTGAGGTGCGACGCATGTGTGGGGAGCAGACGGGCAAGTACACGCTGGGTCAGTGCACCATCCGCTGGGCCTTCATGCTGGCCATCCTCAGCATCGGAGACGCCCTCATCCTCTCCTTTCTGGCCTTTGTGCTGGGCTACCGGCAGGACAAGCTCCTCCCCGATGACTACAAGGCCGATGGAAAAGGTAACCTGCCCTCCCCCAGGGAGGTGGGGCTTCCTCTCAGCCGGTTACCGGAGGACTGGTCCCTGGCCCGGGGTTGGGGACGGACACCAAGACCAATTGGACACAGGCCTTGTTCCAGAGGCCAAAAGCCAGTGGGGGGTTGTAAGCTGGCGGCTGATGAGGCAATTAGAGCAGAGGCTGTCTGTGATAGAAGGGTGTCCTCATGCCTCCCCCGCCCCTGACTTCTGTCAGGGTCTCCAGGGGAGAGAACCCTGATCCAGCCTGGGGGGGCGAGGTACGGCTTCCTAGAGAAGGCGGTGCTGGGGCTGGGTCCCCAAGTTCACCGGGAGTCTGCTTGGTGGAGAGAGGAGCGGCCGGTCAGGAGAGGGGCTGCGTTGTTGGGGCAGTAGGAGAAAGGTAGGTGAGGGGACAGATGTGACAGCTCCTGGAATGCATACGGTGGGCGGTCCCTTGAGTTAGAATAGCCTTGGGGTTCTCTGTATGCCATCCTGTTTCAATTTCCTTCTGCCCAAATCCTACCCCTGAGTCACGAGTCAGTTGTAGGAGACCCGAAGCCCGGCGGATGCTTTAGCCTTTTCTGACTCCTTCCCAACTGACCTTTCTTCCTCTTACGGTACTTTCTGCTCCTGTTTCTCTTTAGGCTCTTCCCCTGTCTCGAGGGGCTTTTTCAGGGCATAAATTTTATCTTGTAGTCATAGGGCAAGGCCTGTCTCACATGCTTGTGAATCCAAAATTGCCCACTTTCCCCACAGTCTTCGCCCCATTGACCTGAACTAGAAGGGGGAGGCAAACTCCTTTGCCCCCCCCCCCCCCCCCCCCCCCCCCCACCCCGGGGACCAAGGACGCTTCCCAGATGAGGAACTTGAAGCCCGGAAGGGAGACCACCCCCCCGCCCCCGCCCCAGGGCTACACAGAAAGGTGGGGGCAAAAATGACCGGACTCTGGCTCAGCCCAGGGCCCACTGCTCCATAAGGAAGTCATTAGACATCTCATCCTCCTCTGGCAGTGGAAGACTCGCACGCCTAAGTTATAGGATGAAAGCTGAAAACCAAATTGCTAGAATGAGCTGGACCAAGGAGGAGAGGAGAGAGAGGTGTCTTTCTGTTGAAGGAGGGGGCCGATAGTTCCTAGGTTCCGGGAACACTTAAGGTCTGGGTGCCTTGAAAACCCCGTGAGGGGAAGGGAAATGGGACTAGTATGTACTGAGGCTTTGCCATGTGCAGGAGTGATGTAAGGTTTGTTCCCGGGGGCCATCTTTGTTTAATCTGCACAGCAGCCCTGGGGGGACGGGTTGGAGGTGGGGGGTCCAGCAGCATCTATCTGCACAACCAGCACTTTCTCCAGCGATGGAGGTTTTTCCAAGGGAGGCTGCAGCAGGGGCCGCCGCCGGAGGCATTTTGTTCAGCTTTTAGCCCCCAGGCGGGGCCAGCCTTAAATCTGGAAACACTGCAGAGAACATTTTTGTAGTCCTCATTTGCATTCTTTCCTTTTCACAAGGGATTCTTTTAGCTGGAAAGAAATGTTACGCGCGGCGTGGAGTTCCCTTTACAGCGCTTCCTTGTGGAGAGATGGGTTTGTCTCTTTGACCCTTTATTTACTGGTCAAAATGTCAGTTGGCTTTCCTCTCTTTCCTTGTCCCTCTTCTTTCGTGCCCCATGCACCTGTTTCAATCTTTTCAGATTCTTTTCTCTCCATATTTTAGTTCCCTCACTATCATGCAGGATTCAATTTATCCTTCTTGTTTATAACCTGTTAGGAAACACCCACATAACCTTTCTGAACACATCTAACTACTTAGTGAAGTAGCTATCGCTGCTGTCAAAGCACAAAATTGGGTCAGGAAAGCAGAATTTAAAAAAATTTTTTTTTAAATGTTTATTTAGTTTTGAGAGAGACAGAGAGACAGAGCATGAGTGGGGGAGGGGCAGAGAGCGAGAGGGAGACACAGAATCCGAAGCAGGCTCCAGGCTCCGAGCTATCAGCACAGAGCCCGACGCGGGGCTCGAACTCACAAACCGCGAGATCAGGACCAGAGCCGAAGTCAGATACTTAAGTGACTGAGCCACCCAGGTGCCCTGGCAGGCAGAATTTGAGTCCCAGTTCCTCCAAGTCACTTTCCTCAAGGTGCTTTCCACGAAAGAGCAGGACACTAACTCCTGCTCTGCCACCTCTATTATTGTGTGACATGAAGGAAACGATGACAGAAGTGAAGGCTTGCATGAGTACATGGTTGCTGATCCGCTCGTTAAGGGTTAAGGAGGCAGAGGAGAATGAGTGTGGGCTTTGGAGTCAGACCTGGTTTTAAAACTGGGGCTCCGTTGTTAACCAGCTGTGACTGCGGACATTACTCAACTTCGCTAAGCGTTTCCTCATCCGAGCCCCGGTTTTACAGGGTGAGGTGGCAGGTTTCTCCTCGGTTGAAAAAATTACCTACTTCAAAAGATCGTGCTCAGGCACAAGACAAGGATGTCTGCCGTTGGCACTGCAGTTGAAGAGCAGACTGGAGGTTATAGCCAGGGTAGTTAGGCAAGAAAAAGAAGGAAAAGAAATCCAGTTTGGAGAGGACGAAGTACAACGATCTCTACTAGCAGATGACATGATTTTGCATATGTAACGTGCTAAAGAATCCACTAAAAAACCATGAAAGGTAACATGCAACATTAGCGAGGCTGCAGGATATAAACAATATACAAAAATCTATCACATTCGTACACACAGCAGTGAACAATCTGAAAATGACTTGTCAGAAAGCAATGTCACTTATAATAGCATCAAAAAATAAAATATGTAGGGGCGCGCCTGGGTGGCTCAGTCGGTTAAGCGGCCGACTTCGGCTCAGGTCATGATCTCGCGGTCCGTGAGTTCGAGCCCCGCGTCAGGCTCTTTGCTGACAGCTCAGAGCCTGGAGCCTGTTTTGGAATCTGTGTCTCCCTCTCTCTGACCCTCCCCTGTTCATGTTCTGTCTCTCTCTGTCTCAAAAATAAATAAACGTTAAAAAAAATTAAAAAAAATAAATAAAATATGTAGAAAAAAATTTAACAAAAGAAGTGTGAGGTTTGTACATGAAAATTAAAAACCGTTGTTGAAAGAAATTAAAGGCCTAAATCAATGGGAGCATCCACATTCACGGATGAGAACACTTCATATTACAATGGCAATGCTCCCCAAACCGATCTACAGATTCAGTGCAATCCTTATCAAAATCCCAGCTGGCTTTTTGCAAAACTTGGTAAGCTGATCCTCAAATTCGTATGGAAACGAAAGGGACCCAGAAGAGCCAAAACAATCATGAAGGAGAACACAAGTTGGAGGACACACATGCCATGATTTCAAAACTTACTACAAAGCTACAGTAATCAAGATGGTGTGGTCCTGGCATGAGGATAGACATACAGATCAATGGAATAAAATTAAGAGTCCAGAAATGAACCCAAACATAAATGGCAAACTGATTTTCAACAGAGATGCCAAGACCATTCAATGGAGGGAAAGAATAGTCTTTTCAGTAAATGGTGCTAGAACAACCAGACATCTACACGCAAAAGAATGAAGTCGGGGGCATCTTGGGTGGCCCAGTTGGTTAAGTGTCTGGTTTTAGCTCGGGTCATGATCTCACAGTTCATGGGTTCGAGCCCCGGGTTAGGCTCTGTGCTGACAACTTGGAGCCTGGAGCCTGCTTCAAATTCTATGTCTCCCTCTCTTTCTCTGCCCCACCCCTGCTCTCACTCTGTAAACATTAAAAAAAAAAAAAAAAGAATGAAGTTGGACTGCCCACCTCACATGATATATAAAAATCAACTGAAAATGGATCAAAGACCTAAATGTAAGATGTAACATTATAAAACTCTTAGAAGAAAACATAGGTCTAAATCCTTGTGACCTTGGTTTAGGTGGTGGTTTCTTAGACGTGACACCTAATACACAAGCGACCAAAGGAAAAAATACGTATAAATTGGATTTCATAAAAAATGAAAGCTTTGGTGTGTCAAAGGACACCAACAAGAAAGTGAAGAAAAGACAACCCACGGAATGGGAGAATGTATTTGCAAATCATAATTCTAATATCCAGAATATAATAAGGAATCCTACAACTTGACAAATAAAACTACGAAGAACCCCATTTTTAAAGTGGGCAAAGGATTTGAATAGACATTTCTCCGAAGAAGATATCCAGATTGCCAAGACAGTTGACATCACTAGTCATGAGGAAAATGCGAATTAAAACCACAATGAGCTATTACTTCACATCCCACTAGGATGGCTGATAAAAAAGATGAACAGTAACAGGTGTTGGTGAGCACGTGGAGAAAGGAACTCTCATACACCGCTCGTGAAAAGGTAAAATGGCGCTATTGCTATAGAAAACAGGACGGCAGTTCCTCAAATGGTTAAACATAGAGAGAGGCGCTCTGTGACTCACACAGTTATTCCTAGACACGTAGGCAAGAAAACTGCAAACACGTTTGCACAAAAACTTGGATATAAACCTTCATAGCGGCGCGAAAGCCAGGAAGTGGAAACCAACCAAACGTGAGTCAGCTGATGACCTGGATAAATAATATGTGTAAATCTACACAGTGGAATATTATTCAGCTATAAGAAGTACTGATAATTGCTACCAAGTGGATGAACCTTGAAGACGTTGCAAGTGAAAGGAGCCATACACAAAAGACCATGTATTGCATGATCCCACGTATTTATTTATTTTTAAAGTTTATGTTCATTTATTTTTTAAATTTTGTTTATTTTTATTTATTTCCAAAGCTTATTTATTAAAAATAAATTTTTAGAGAGAGGGTGCGCGTGTGAGCACACAAGTGGGGGAGGGGCAGGAGAGAGAGAGAGAGAGAGAGAGAGAGAGAGAGACTCCCAAGCAGGCTCTGTACTGTCGGCGCAGGGCCTGACGCGGGGCTTGAACTCACGAACTTCGAGATCATGACCTGAGCCGAAGTCGGACGCTTAGCCAATTGAGCCACCCGGGTGCCCTAACAGCGGTGATGGCTGCACAGCCCAGTGATTATCCTGGAACCCACCAATCTGTACGCTTTGAGTTGAGATTTTGTGTTAGTGAATTGTATCTCAAAAAAACCCAAAAGACTGTGTGAAGGATTAGGTAGTGGGTAAATCACTAACAAAGCCTACATGTTATTCGGGCGATTAACAAATGTTAGTTCTCTCCTCGTTCTGTCCTTCCGGTATCTCTACTTCTTACGTAATCACCTGCCCGACCACTAACAGCTCCTGGGCTCCAGGTGCCCACTGACACCCCCAGACACTGGGGGGACAGCGGTGAGGGAAGCGGTCTGATTGGACCTTACCGTCTGATAAGGGACACCACATGCAAAATGCAGTTACAAGCTGGTACACGTTACGAACAATAACGACAACAACAATGCGAGCCTTCTCGAGAGTGAAGAAATCTGATCTGGTTTGGCGAGGGAGTTGTGTGCAGGGAATTATCCTGCAAACGAGGCCCGGGTGTATACACATGACGCTCTCTTTTTCATTGCAGAGGAAGTCTGAAGCAGCTGGCGTGCTGGTGAGTAATCCCACCGTTGGGTGGTCTGCCTGCCTTGGGGAAGGGCTGTGGCCTCCTTGGCCTCCGTTTCCTTACAGACTCATCAGGCGGAATGGCCCGTGGGGCCGGGTGTAGGGGCTGGTTTAGGGCCTGGGGGGAGGAGCAGTGACTCCCGCAGGAGCTAGCTGGCATCTGAAACCCCGTTGTTTTACCTCTTACTTGAGAAGCGGAAAAAGAAGAGGAAGAAATAATGTCGAACAGCCAGGTGGTTTCATAAACTCATCTTTCTGTGGAGCCTGGCAAACAAGAACAGACTGCTTAGAAGTCATTCTCGTAAATAGGGGCCCTTATTTTCAGAAAGACTTTAAGTGATCTGTAAGAAAAATAGAAAACCTAATTAAAAAAAAATAAAAGTCACAGAGAGGAAAACAAATATTCTAGAAAGCTAGGCTAATAGAAATACTACCTTCCTTATGCTTCCTGATAGCCAACACAAAAAGAAAAATATGACTTTAACTGATTTTAACGTCTGGTTGAAAAGGAAGCACAACATATCAATTTCCTTATTGCCTTTCAGGTTTCCAAAATGTAATTTAACAAGAATATTAAGGAACACATTAAAAAAATATAAAAGCCCATCATAGTATCACCTTCCAAATAGCTGCCATTTATTGAGGACCTACAGCAGGCTAGGCCCTTCATGTGGGTAGACGGGGTTATTTCCATTAAAAAGAAACTTTTTTTAACGTTTATTTATTTTTGAGAGACAGAGAGAGACAGAGCATGAGCATGGGAGGGACGGAGAGAGGGGGAGACACAGAATCCGGAGCAGGCTCCAGGCTCTGAGCTGTCAGCACAGAGCCCGATGCAGGGCTCGAACTCAGGGAGTGCAAGATCATGACCTGAGCCAAAGTCGGCTGCTTAACCAACTGAGCCACCCAGGCACCCTGGGGTTATCTCCATTTAAACGATTTTAATTTCTGCAAAGTACCTTCCAGTCCTTGCCCACATAGATATACTTTTTTCAATAATAATAAACATTGCCCCCCCCCCCCCCCCCCTTATTAGGTGATTCTCAAACTCTAATATGCATACAACCTACCTGGGAATCTTCTTAAAATGGAAATTCTGATTCAGGGGCCATAGACACTGTTCCTAACCTGCTTCACATAATGGCTACACTTTGAATAACAAACTGTTAGAGTGTAAACATTTTCTCATTTTTTTTTCAATGTTCATTATTAAAGTTTTTTAAAGCCACAAACTCCATAGCCCTGGTGTACTCTTTAATGGCTAAACACAACCTTGGTTATTAGCCATTGAGGATTGTTCTCACAGATAAGAACGTGTTGCTTCTGTTGATAAATTCTGGAGTAGAATTTCTGAATCAAAGGTAACCACACCTCTATGTCTTTTCACCCATTTCTCCTATCCCTCCGTATCTATGAGCTTGTCATTGTTTTTAATGTTTATTTATTTATTTTTGAGAGAGAGAGATAGAGAGAATTCCAAGCAGGCTCTGCAGTGTCAGTGCAGAGCCAGAAGTGGGGCTTGACCTCATGAACAGTGAGATCACGACCTGACCCCAAATTAAGAGCTGGATGCTTAACCAGCTGAGGCACCCAGGCACCTGTTTTTCTGTGTTTTACCTTTCAAGATTCCACAGAGATTATATGCAGTAGTTGTCTTTTTCTGACTTCTTTCACTTAGCATAATGCCCTGGAGGTCCATTCATGTTGTCACAAATGGCAAAATTTCATTTTTTTTTTTTTTTGGCTGAATAACATTCCAATATGGATATATAGCACAATTTTTTTTAAGTTAATTATTTCATTTTGAGAGACAGAGACAGCACAAGTCGGGGAGGGGCAGAGAGAGAGAATCCCAAGCAAGCACCGCACATTCAGTGCGGAGCCCAGCACAGGACTGGAACCCACGAAACTGTGAGATCATGACCTGAGCTGAAACCAGGAGTCTGATGATGCTGAACCAACTGAGCCACCCAGGAGCCTCTATAGCACAGTTAAAAAAAAAGTTTTTTTTGATTTTATTTTAGAGAGAGTGAGAGAGCATGCAAGCGAGGGAGAGGGGCAGAGAGAGAGAGAGAGAGAGAGACAGAGACAGAGAGGGAATCTTAAGTAGACTCCACGCTCAGTGTGGAGCCTGATGCGGGGCTCAATCCTATAACCCTGGGATCATGACCTGAGCTGTAGTCAAGAGCTGGGTCCTCAATCGACTGAGTCCCCCAGGCATCCCTCCATAGCACAAGTTTTAAGTGTCCACTGATGGACAGTTAGGCTGTAAATAGCGCTGCCATGAACATGGGAATGCGTACATCTTTTTGAATTAGTATGTTTTTCTTTGGATAAATACCCCCAAATGGAATTGCTGGACCATATGGCAGTTCCATTTCTAATCTTTTGAGGAACCTCCATACTGTTTTTCATAGTGGCTGCACCAACTCAAAATCCCATCAACAGTGCACAAATGTTCTCTTTTCTCCATAACCTTGCCAACACTTTTTTTTTGTCTTTTTGATAGTAGCCTTTCTAAAAGGTGTGAGGTGATATTGTGGTTTTGATTTGCATTTCCCTGAGAGTTAATGATGTTGAGCATCTTTCTATGTGCCTGTTGGCCATCTGTATGTTTTCTTTGGGAAAATGTCTATACAGATCCTTTGCTCATTTTTTATGTATGTATTTATTTATTTATTTATTTATATTTATTCATTTTTTTCTTTGCTCATTTTTAGATTGTTTTCTTGCTATTGATTTATAGGAGTTCTTGATATATTTTGGATACATGATTTGCAAATGTCTCCTGCTGCAGGCTGCTTTTTTATTGGTTGATGGTTTCCTTTGCTGTGCAGAGCTTTTTGTGTAGTCCCACGTGGTTTTTTTTTTTTTTTTCGCTTTTGGTGTTAAATTCAAAAAATCGTTGCCACGATCTATGTCAAGGAGCTTACCGCCAGTGTTTTCTTCTAGCGGCTTTATGGTTTCAGGTCTGATCTTAAAGTCTTTAACCCACTTTGATTTAACTTTTGTGTATGGTGTAAGGTAGTGGGCCAGTTTCCCGGTACCATTTAGTGAAAAGACTGCCCTTTCCCCATTGTATATTCATGACTTGTCATAAATTGGCCACAGCATAGGTTCATTTCTGGGCCGTCTACTCTGTTCCACTGATCTGTGTGTCTGCTTTTATGCCAATACCATACCGTTTTAAGTTTTGTAATATAGGTTGAAATCAGGGAGCCATGATATCATGCTTCTAGCTTTGTTCTTGCCCAAGATTGCTTTTTAAAAATGATACTTTATTTATTTAAGAGACCTGAGTTTTTACTTGATGCACATTGACGATTATTTTATATACTAACGAAATTTGCCTGTCTGGGTAGGGCTGAATCAAAACGTAAGCTTCCGGGGGACATAGGGTGCATACATGGGGAATTTGGTTTTGCTTGGCTTTCTAAAAGTGTCATATTTTATACTCTTGCGATTTTTTTTTTTTTTAATACCACAGGTCATCTATTTCCCTGACAATGGAAAATTAAGGAATCGAATTCTTCAGCGATAAAAACTTGTTCCGTCCACGCTTCCCTGTTCCTGGCCACTATAGGTCTGATACCCTGAAGCCTTTCACTATAGGATTAGAACCTGACACTCTCCTGAGACAAGACCTCCTACCGTATGCAGAACACTTTCAGGAGGAGCAGAACTACAGTGACCCACATTAAAGATATTCAGAGAGACATGGGCGGTACTCTCCTGACAGGGCCCCAGTTCTCATCGTATCCCCTTCATACCGGCAGGCGATCACGTTACTCCCTGGAGGCCTCTCCTCTGGAAAATGAGAGGGCTGAGTCCACGTCTCAGGGCTTCCCAGGTCCGAGTCTTGAGAGCCTGAGGATACATTCGTTTGCAGGCACACCAGACACTGCCACCCAGCTCTCAAAGGGCAGCTGAGGGAGAGGCGGTTGTCATGCCAGATCATTTCAGGTTGGGGCTTAGGGGGTCCTTTGCTTCTCCTTTCTTAACTGTTTTCTTATTGATGATCAGAGGTGGGTAAGGAATGGAGGGGCCACCAGAACCCAAATCTATCAGGAAGCCCTATAAAGACTGGGTGAACATAGGATCTAAAAACTTAGGAGAGTAAACTCCATTACGTTCCCTCATAGTGCCCACTCCGACCCAATCAGGACTGGCCCCCAGCTTAAGAAATTTGTTACTTGTGTCCAAGTAATTTGTTTTAGTAATAGATTACATTTCTTGTAAGAACAAAACCAAACGACTTTGGATTTGGCACTCAATGGTGTATCTTTTGCCAGCCTCCAGAGGGGAGCTTGATTTAGGGAATACCTCCTTGTAGCAAAGATGACAGGTTCTTTAGGCTATTCCCTGCCTGGAGATGGTACCTAGAAACAGGGCTTGCTGATTATCTGCAGTGGATAATCCTGAGAGGTAGGTAGTTTTTCCTGGTCTTGCGCATTTACTTGGTGAAGAGAAAATGTAGCTGCTGGTAGAGGAGGGGAGGTAAACACAGAACGAATCTGTAATGGATCTTGTTACTTGATCAAGGAGCAGTCACTGATACAGTAAAGTTTCTCATTCCTGGGCTGTAAGGGCACTTTTTTTTTTTTTTTTTAAAGTGAACTCTGCCTTCCAACATGGGGTTTGAACTCATGACTTTGGCAAGAGTCCCATGCTCTACCAACTGAGCCAGCCAGGCGCCCCTGTAGGGCATGCTTTTTAACCAATGCCCTGACAACCTACCCAGTCAGTGAGGTTTCTTCTACAGTTCAGATGGATTTGGAATGAGCACCCCAGCATCGTCCTGTTGTTGGTAATGGGAACTATTGGAGTGAGACTTAAGAACAATCATATTCAGAGGTGCCTTAGTGGCTCAGTTGGGTAAGCATCTGACTCTTGCTCTTGGCTCAGGCCTTGATCTCAGGGTTGTGAGTTCAAGTCCCGTGTTGGGTACTACACATGAAGCCTACTTAAAAAAAAAAAAATCCCATTCATATTTTCTTGTGTTGATAAAATTATTTCAGTCAGGCATTTACTTTATGCAAACTTGAACAGAATTTGACAATTTTTGTAGCTTAGTGCCTTTTCTACTTTACATCCATTTATTTCTCATAATTTTACTTTTCATATGAAAAGAAGCATTTCTAAGTCTACCTTCTCAAAATTTCTCACTACAATGGCAACCATGGTGGTCCACAGAAGCTTCTGGGGAACTTAAGGAGCATCTGCCAATAGCCCGCACCTTGCTCTTGCCAGGAACAGCACGTTTCACGAAAGCAGGAGTCGGTTTACTAATGACCAGTCCTGGGGAAGGATCTGCAAATCTGTTTAGGAGTCAGCCAGCATTTCACCTTTTGCTTGATCTTCAAAGAAACTCAGAATTCAACCTCTCCAATCACAGTTATGATTTTGGTTGAAAGCTAGTAACTGCTTATCAGCTCAAGTGGCTTTACCTTAAACTCCTAAGGGCACCTTGAATCTCATCTTTGAAAGTACATAGAAAATCAATAAAATCAGCACCTGTCTAACCAAGTTGCCTTCTCACTTGCCTCTGCCTTGGGCTGGGGCGTAAGGATGGTTGTGATGCCCAAACTTCACCAGGGACTAGGCCTGGGCTGATATGGTCAAGAGAGGACTAGTCATTTAGATCTGAGATGCTAACTGGATGGATATCTTAAATGCTTTGTCTTACATCCCTGTATTAGTTACCTGTTGCTGCATACAGAGCACATTACCACAGAACTCAGTGGCTTAAAACGTTTCTGTTTTTGTGGGTTAGGGATGTCTCTGTCTCAAGGTTTCTCACAGGGCTGCAATTAAGCTACTGGGATCTGCCTCCAGACTCAGAGGTTGTCTGCAGGATGCAGACTGTGGGCCTCCCCATACTGCTACTCACATGGCGGCTTGCTTCCCCAGAAAGAGTTCCAAGACAGAACGAGAGAGGGGGGCAGAGAAGACAGCAGGCACAGCCCTTTGTAACCCAATCGTAGAAGTAACATCTGTCACTTTTGCCTTGATCTGTTAAAACAGTCACTGAGTCCAGCCCACAAGCAAGGTGAGGGGATTACAAAAATGTGTTCGTATCCGTGTGGGAATCACTGGAGTCTTTTTAAAAGTTGCTTTTTAAGTTACTCATTATTTTCTGCTGCAATGGGCACTTCCCAGAATGGTTTATTGAAACAAAGGTTAGAGTCCAGTAACCTTACATGCTGATGGATACGTATTTGTTTTGAAATAAATTGCTGAAGATCAAACAAGGGCTCTGACCCTCTAAACTCACCCCTCTTTGTTATTGAACCTCAAGAGGATTTATAGTAAGGCCCACTAACTTATTAAATTTTTTAACATTTTCATTTTTTTTTTTTTAATTTTTTTTTTCAACGTTTATTTATTTTTGGGACAGAGAGAGACAGAGCATGAACGGGGGAGGGGCAGAGAGAGAGGGAGACACAGAATCGGAAACAGGCTCCAGGCTCTGAGCCATCAGCCCAGAGCCTGACGCGGGGCTCGAACTCCCGGACCGCGAGATCGTGACCTGGCTGAAGTCGGACGCTTAACCGACTGCGCCACCCAGGCGCCCCATTTTATTCATTTTTGAGACAGAGAGAGCATGAGCAGGGGAGGGGCACAGAGAGGGAGGCACAGAATCCCAAGCAGGCTTTAGGCTCTGAGCTGTCAGCACAGAACCCGATGCAGGGGGCTTGAACCCACCAAGAACCGTGAGATCATGACCTGACCTGAAGTCAGCCACTTAACCAACTAAGCCACCCAGGAGCCCCTAGCGTTCACTAATTTCTAACACTGATGGTCCTCTCCTCTGTATTCAATAAATCCAAAGCAATCAATGCAACGTCTTAAAGGCACAACTTCTAGGAGCATAGCTCAAATGCAGGCAGCCGGTGCACTTCTAGAACATGGTCCAGTTCTGCCAATTGTTATTGTATTAAAGTGGGCAAAAACTAGATCTGCATTAAGGACAAGATTATGATAAAAAAAGCCTCCTCCCTTATAAGGAATGGTATGGCCAGCAACACAACTACATACTAACGTAAACTTGCTTAATTCGTTAAAACTTCTAAACACTTAACATCATCTTCAATCTTCTGGCTTTTTAACGGGGATATTTGATATCACAAGGACTTGGTGTGGACTGGCATTTGTGCAAAGACATAAAGACAAACGCACATCATGCGTGTAGTTTTTAAATTCCAACTTTTAAAAACAGGACTTTAGTGACAGAGACAAACCTCCTCCTCAATAGGTCTCAAGGTTCAGATAGTATCTTCATGTAATATATACAAGTTTATATATTTAATCCTCATATACTGAAGACTATGCAAGCGATGTTAAGATACTAATACCTTGCCAACTGCAAAGGCACCACGTTGGCGGGCAAAACACAAAGAACTGACGACTATTCAAGCTTCTTTGGTGTCATTAGGCCTTATTTCTGGAGTAAATGTAATTCTGGTTCTATTATCAATAAATCATCCATTTTCTATGAGACAGTCATCCAACAGCAAATGCCTTTCCTCAGAAGGGCAGACTGTTAGATTCCACAGGTTTCACAAATAAAAGAATGGGCAGTAATACAGTCTTGTAACCTGGGCCTGCTCTGGGGCAGCTAAATGGTTCCCCTGTGGACACTCAGGGCAAATGAAGAGTGAAAAGCAGGGGTCCGGGGAGGGGGATGGTTTAACTCCCATCTCCGTTTGCTGGTTCTTTTGAGATTGCGACAAGCTCTCCTAGGACAAGAGCAATGAAGTTTTCCAAAACCCTCTGAGCTCTAGGCCCATACATTTGACACAAGGCCTAGTGAGACTGCCTAGACTGGTCAGTCCAGTAAACCAACACATTGGTTTGAGGAATTCTGGTTTAATTCGTTTAGGTTGTTTTTTAAACACGTTACATTCTCTTCTGGGCAACACTACAATATGAACACACCACACAGGTCTTCAGCATGATGTAATTAAATTAACTAGGACGGTTTATGTAGTTCAGGGGTGGGGAAGGACTTTCTACTGAATAACGTTAACAAACATAACAATGAAAGGCAAATAAAAAATTGGAAAAGTATGTGATGGAAAATGATAAAAATGCATCATCTTTAGTATATAACAAATCCTTACCACATAATCAAATAGGGAAGCATGCCAACATAGAGCTGGGTAATGGAGGTAGATAACCAAATAAAAATGGCCAAAAACCCATGAAACAAGTTTCTGACTTCACTAGTCATCCAATCTGCAAATTGAAACAAGACACTCCTGTTTTTTTTGGCACTCAAACTGGGTATCAGGAATATAATGAGTGTGGGGACGCCTGGGTGGCTAGTCGGTGGAGTGTCCGACTGGCTCAGGTCATGATCTGTTTGTGAGTTTGAGCCCTGCACGGGGTTCACTGCTATCAGCACAGAGCCCACTTCAGATCTTCTGTTGCCCCCTCTGCCTCTTTCCCACGTGTGCTCTCTCAAAAATAAAATAAGTCTAAAAAAAAGATTTTAAAAAAGGAATAAAATGAGTGCGATCCTAACAGGCCCATCCAAACACTGCTAGTCACAGCCAAGCAGTCCGTTTCCCACAGAAGTTATGGGACATTCACTACAAGCCATAAAAATGTGCTTACAACCTGGCCCAGCCATTCCATGTCTAAGAATTTGTGCTAAGCAATAAATCAGATGTGTATGAGAGCCTGGGCACAATAGGGTTTGTCATGCCAGTGCCTTAGGCAGAGTTCACAAATCTTTGGCGTTCTGCATCTACAATGATTGTAATCGGAGGCCGGGGTGGGAAAGACATTACCACAAATATTCTGGGAGAATACTATTGGATATAGGGAATAACAATTTTCTTAAAACTTCCCAAAATGTACTGTTAATCTCACCTACCCCCAATTTAAAGATAGAAGCAAAGCTACAAATGACATAAAGTGGCATGTGTTCAAGCTATACAATTTCACTGCTTAAAGTACAAAAAGCATACTCAACCAATCCTTTCCTCCCTCCTGAAGGTTGGCTCAGACCAACTTGGGCAACAAATGAACAGAAATGCTTTGGAAACATGTAGGTTATTAAATAATTTGTTTATTGTACTGCATTTATAAAGAAAACAGACAATGCACCTGATAGAAAGAATAAAAATGCATTTGGGGTTTTAACTGACAGCAATAGAAATCCTTTAGTAAGATCATGGCAATTTGACAGTATTATGATTAAGTTCAATAAAGGTACATGGGGTACTTGGAAGATCAATTTCTATAGCTGCCTCTTTCTACGGCTTCTAATTCATCTGGCTCCTTAAATGACAGGGGGAAAAGCCCTTATTTGGAGGGAAAACATGTCCAAGAAAGAAGTTATAGGTTCTCTCTTCTTAAAATTTCTTTTTACATCAATTGTTAAAATGGGGCCTTCTATTTGTGTTTTGGTTATTTTACTTTAATATCATCACCAGAATTCCTGTAATTCCACAATTGTTATTTTACAGTGTAGAAAAGAATTCAGTTCTAGTCTGCTATTGCTTTAGATGTATATATCGCTGAAAAGCCAAAGTGGATTAGAAGTGCCGACGGATTTTCCCTGCCGTTGTTGGATACAATCTATTTTCTTTATTCTTGATAGGTGCATAGACAGCCTCAATTAAAATTCTTTCTACAGGAACATGTCTGATTTCAGGACTACCCAATCAAGGATCCGATGAATGGCTGGCCATCGGTACTCAGGGTTCTAGGTTTATGAGTTAAATGGATTGCATAATTGCACCATGTTTTCCTTTGCTGTTGTTGGTGGAAAAATGGCAGAATCTGGACTCCAATTTCCTGTATAGAGGGTCAGCTACCTGAAAGTCTCATCAGCAGCTTTGCTAGTAGAGCCTCAAGTTGCACTTCCTTGGCTTTCTGTAAATCACTCCTGGAGCCGTCTCCGCAGAACGCTGTAGTCCTCAAGGCCCACTTGGTCTGTGCTGAACAAGTGGCTGTGACCCCAAGCCTGCCCCTCTTTTACTTTTCAATATGACCCAAGGAATATATGATGTCTAGGGCAAGTCTAAGAGAGGCCCATTCTAAAGTAAGATTCACAGAGCCTTTTCTCAAAAAAAAAAAAAAAAAAAAAAAAAAAAGCCTCAAGTACATCTCAATTATCCCAAAGTTGCAGTTAAAAACTTACATTATACAAAGAAATAGCAGCAGAGAATGGCTAATCTTAAAACAACCAAAAACAAAAAACAAAAATAAAAACAAAACACCCCCTCCAAAACAAAACAAAAAAACCCCACCCCAAAAAGTGCCATCCCACCCTTCCCCTTGGTTCTTCTATGCTGGGATTTCACTTAAGACCTGAAGCCTCTCAGAAAATGAGAAAGGCTAAGCCACAGAGGGAAACTGCTTCAAGGCTAAATTTGGACAAGAAGAAGAAAAAGCTGTGAATACAAGTAGGGGACTGATTGGAAAAGAATCAGGAATTCTAGGGCATTTTCTTCTTAGAGGGAAAAATCTCTGATACCCAGATCTCCTTTCTAGAGTCATCCTGGATTCTTTAGTTAGTTATGGGGCAATAAACTCAAGTGCAGTGAGTAAAGTGCCAGCCAGGGGTTAAAACAATGAAAAACAAAACAGCCAAATGAACGAACTCTGCTGTCAGGGTGACAGAAGACACACAGGAAAGGACTGTTTTGCAAAACAGCTGTGGTTCTGCAGAAATTACAAATCAATGGTTCCGCTTCTGTTTTCATCAAAAATCAGACCAAAGATTCAAGGATCTTAGAGTTATTAAAGGATGAAAGGAATTTGATAGTGCTTTGAACAGTGATAAGATGGTACCCAAATTTGGAGCTTATACAGCTCCTTTAAAAAGATAGCCTGAAAGTCACAGGAAAAAATGTGAACATAGAGAGCAACAGAAACAGTCCAGGTAGATGATGCAGCCTGGATACAGCAAGTTTAATGTCTCTGCTGTACACAGATGTAACACCCTTTCCCCTTCTCATCCTTATGCTGGCAATAAGATACGCACTAGAAAATTTGACTCTTAGAGTCAGTGAATAAAAGGATGAGCTCATACATCTTCATAGTTTTTAAAAAGGATGTGTATAATTTAAAGGGTGTTCTAATGGAAAGACAAGGGTACACGGTGAGAGGCTGTTTCACATTTTAGTCTATTTGTCTTTGGCAGAGCCCAATCAAGGCCAAATTCACCTAGGATGCCCAATGGCTGTGGGGGATCTCCACAGGGTCAAGTAAGCAAACCCAAATGAACAGATTGATTTAAAAAAAAAACAAGAAAACAAAAAACAAAAAAACAAAACAAAAAAACCCCTTAGGAAACCCTTGAAGGAAGAGCTTCACCCTGAAAAGGGAAGAGGGAAATGCTTGTTGGGGAGGGGTGAGGGTCAGCATGTGATCTCTGCTGCGCTGTTAGGCTGGGGCTTAGGAGTTGAGCCAAGGATGCCGGAGACAATCGGCAGCAGTGGCTCTCTTCTCGGGTATCAGCTCCAACATGGGCAGTAAGAAATCCGTGAAGCCAGCTGCCTCTTCCTGAGACCACTCATACTTCTCCACTAGAACCTCAAAAAGGCCCCAGGGTTTCAGTTTCGTGATGTGTTTCAGGTCACCTATGATAAAGACAATACAAAAGAAACTGACGGACACTGACAAGTGACAAGAGCCTTTTGTGGATATCCAGGAACTAATCCGGGTGCTCTATAAAGAAATTTTGCCACCTGAATTGAATCTTTCTTCAGTCAAATTTCTCACATTCTCCATTCTGAGGGCCTAAAAACTTAAGATAATTTGTTTGCCCCGCCATTCCAGGATATTCTGTCCCAGTCAAATTGGGCAGGCCTAGCATGAACTAGGTATTCACTAAAATGAATATTAAATGCCTATATATGCAACATGGTGTCATATGGTGTTCAGAGGCAGTTTATTACCACATACCAAGAACAATTTGTTTGTACTGTTTTTTTTTTTTTTTTTGACTTAACAGTCTAGTAAATATTGCTTCCAAATAAGGCAGTAAGAGCTAATACCATGTCAAACCTGTATAAAAGCAACAAGACTAAAAGAACAAACCCCACACAGGTTTCAGATATAGCTACACTACACTTTGTAGTATTCTGGAATGTCATTCTAAATTTTGCTTCTTTGAAATGATAATTAAAAAAAAATAAGGTCAATTACAGTACCTTATTAAGGTAAATGCTGCTTTAAAACTTCTACAACACTTATTTGAGGTCTCTTCTGTGGGCAGTGAGTGCCTGATTAATTACCTACTCGGTATATGCATGCCATTAACTGGTCTTTGTGTAAGGAGGAACTCTTATGAAGCACTTCAGTATTTTCCTGCCAAAAAAGAAACATTAAATGTTTCTGAGGATGCTTGCTGTCAAGTGTTGAGAAAAATGATTTTCCTCAGCATTAGTGTAGAGGTTGTGAGGAAAAAGGGAATCATGGCAAAAAGGGAAAAAAAGGCCAGACAGTCTTCCAATCCCTTCCATGTCAGGTGTTCAAATTTCAGCTTTCAAATTTTGTTTGTATGCATAAGTACACATTTAAATATGCCAATGTATATCATCGAGTCAAAAAGTTGAAGTAAGAGTATTCTCTTGGTTTCCTTCACTCCTCAGTGATGACATAAACTTATAAAATTGTCAAGGGTAAAGTTAATTTGTAGAACTGATGGGCTTAAGTGACTATGTTGGGTGTCACTAGGCCACAAGACAGAGTGAGATGTAATCCTGCCCTTAGGAAGCTTGAAGTAAATGATTTGCCCTTTGAAAGAGGCAGTTCTTAGACCAAATGCTAGCAAAAATCTGCCCATTTTCCAGAAGTGCTATAATAGGAGTAATCAATGTGCCAGGTGCTATATACAAAGTAACTTATTCAATATGAAGTAGACACTTATAATCTCCAGTTAGAAATCAGCAGACTGAGGTTGTGTAGCAGCTGGGATTTGAACCTAGATAGTCTGGTTCCAGTCTCTGCTCTTGACCACACTATTACAGCTCAGCAGTCAAGACAGGACCATTCTTCTGTAGGTGCTGGGAATACATGTACCCAGCAGTACTTACCTCTTCATTTTTAAACACTTTGCCCCCTTAATGCCTGGGAACAAACACATTTATTTTACCTTTTTTGGTGAAAAATTCCTTGGAATATTTTCCTGCCACAATGAGCTTGCGAGGCACCTTCCCCAGAAGTTCTATGATCAATGCAATGTGATCTGTATGTTTCAAACATTTCAGGAAAGGGGAAAAAAAAGACATACATAACAGGAGTAACAAATGCAGTTCTAGACAATGGCAGAAAGAGTAGCATGCACACCTCTTTATGAAGCATTTCAGGCTTGCTTTCTGTCCTAAATAGGAAGAGGACTCTATCCACCTAATGGAGAGTCCAGAAAACCATAACAAAATCACGCACCCACTCCAGTGGGACTTGAGTGATAACTAAAAACAATCTTGGTGTGAATGCTCTGCTTCCTTAAGTTGTACACCTGGGGCCTAGATGAAAACTCATGTTAATAATACTACCTCTGCGATCGAAGAAGTCCTGTGAATATTTCCCACTGAGGGCAAAGCGTCTTGGAATTCTGCCTATCAGCTCTATAATGTGCGCAATGTGGTCTAAAATAGAAGGGTAAGAAGAACAGGATCAAGGACAAGCTGTAAAGGGTTTTTTTTTTATGAATAGCTTTTTCAAGGACTAGCTCTTTAAGAGTAACTACAAATATAACCAAGGATATTCCAGGGGAGACTGGGAAGGTCGAGAATTATTTCAGGTGGTTGGTTACCTGATAGCAGCTGGCAAGTCCCACTCTGGAGTTTGGAGGTTTAACTAGATCTTTATTTCTATTTTGCCTATACATCTAGGTTCAGGTGGGTTTTTCAGATGAGGTGAAAAACTGTACCAATATTCTTTACACATTCTGGAACTGTTATTTATTTATGATACTGCTCTGGGCTTCACGTAATAATATCACTCTATTTAACAATGTTCATGATGATTAAATAATCACGTATGATTATTTCAGTTTTCACAACCGCCCTGTACAACAGGCCAAAGATTAATACCCCATTGTAAAGATGAGAAAATAGAACCTCAGAGAGAATAAATGGCCGACTTGAAGGTACAGGGCTAAAAGGAGCTAGAACTCAAATGAAAACCCACATCTTATCATGTCTAGTTCAGAGCTATTTGTTTTAAAATAAATCATATTTTAAGTACAAATTAGCGAAAAACATTTTACTTTTCATTTATTTTTTAAATTTTTTTAGGGTTTATCTTTGAGAGAGAGTGACAGAGTGTAAGTGGGGGAGAGGCAGAGAGAGAAGGAGACACAGAATCCGAAGCAGGCTCCAGGCTCTGAGCTGTCAGCACAGAGTCCGTTGTGGGGCTTGAACTCACAAACTGTGAGATCATGACCTGAGCCAAAGTTGGATGCTTTTAACTGACTGAGCCACCCAGGTGCCCGGAAAAACATTTTAAAATACAGCTACTTGACTTCTGTAGGCCACGAAAAGATGTCCACATCATAGCAGTGCGTTGTAACTGTCACGGCATGAATATGGATTGTGAACACTGCCAGGGATGTGTCCAGTGTGTCCCCAGGTGAGCCTGGGACTGGCCAGCATCCATCCACACTTACAGGCAGCTCTACTACCTTTTTTATTCTGCAGGTAACTAAGAATACGAAGTACATTTTAAAAAGTGATGGCTGCTAGTCACAAAAGGACTTTAATCCTGTTAGAGAATCATGAAGATCAAAAGGAATTACTTAAAGATTTCTAATGTTACCTTAAAGGGGAATAATAATACGCCAGAGACATCAATATATCTGGGAATTTGTGAATGTCTCAGGTCCTATCTGTTTCTCATGTAAAGGACCCAGTGCTGTCATTTTAAAAGGGCTTTACATTCATGAATTCACTATAACCTTTTGGCAGTTTTGACTGAATTTATAGTTTGGTAACAAGAACTCAGCTGCTAAGAAATTTCTGCCTATTTTAAGCAAAACCTGCAAATAAATGTCTTTGTATAAACAGATTATAAATGAGACCACAGTTTATCTTCTGTAAACTTCCAAGTGAAGTATTGGTTCTTTTAATATTTTTCCTATACCGAGGAATTATTTTTCCCCTGAATGTGTTATTTTACATTTAGTTCCAGCAACCTGTATCTGGTTTATCAATTGATCATAGGGCAGATATACCTGATAGGCAAAATTATCCAAGTATTATTCCAAGAGTTAGGGGCTGGAGAATATCATCAGAGAACATGCTTCTTAGGTTGGCCCCAGTCCTACCGTGACTTGTAACAAACTATGCATACACTGGCTGGAGGATAAGGGTTTGCTGTTTTCTGCTCTTATGGGCCTCTTATGCAGCAGTTTGAAGTTTCACCTAAAGACTGTTAGTATTGACTGGTACAGGAGGCAATAAATTTGTATAGAAATACCTAGGATAGATGGTTCTCCCTTATTCCTTACTTGGGACTTTTTATATATGTTTCAATCATCAAGTTTGGTAGCATAAGATCCTATACAATATAATTCCAGCTGCTCTATGTGTTCTGTACCACACACTATTTACAGAGAGTGTACAAAAATAGAAAAAAATCAACTACCCTCCCAAACAAAGATACAAAGATAGTAGGGCATTTCTTTCTTTTCTTTTTTCTTTTTTCTTCTCTCTCTCTCTCTCTTCCTCCCTCCCTCCTTTCTTTCTATTACATTTATTTATTTTTGAGAAACAGAGTGAGACAAAGCATAAGCAGGGTATGGGCAGAAAGAGAAGGAGACACAGAATCTGAAGCAGGCTCCAGGTTCTGAGCAAGCGGTCAGCACAGAGCCTGACGCGGGGCTCGAACCCATGGACTGTGAGATCATGACCT